GAAGTATACTACAGAACAATTTGAGTACCAAGGAGTCACCAAGATCAGAGTGGTCTAGACAGATAGATCTGGTTGGCACAATCTACATATCAGTCTGAATAGTTGCTGACTACACTGAATTTTTCCAGCATTGACATTTCTGTGCCACAGATTACTCTATTTAATCATGACTGGGTGATTTTCAAGGGAAATTCTGTTGACTTCAAAAGTGGGCAGTTGATAAACCCTTAACTGTCAAAAATGTCAGTGTAAACCGTATAATTTGTAAATCATTTGTAAGTTGATCATCCTACATTCATATAGTAACCAAGACTAGTTGATTTTCAATTTTTATTCACGGTATAGTAATTTTTTCACTGATAATTCACAGCCAATTGTTGTATACTAATACTCTTATAATGATTCAGCTAACAATGGACAACCAAACATTCAGCTGATGTATAACTTAAAATTGTCATAATAAGTAGATGTATAGTGTCCTTAGAGTAGTATACTGAAGATTAATTTTTGTATTGTAAACTATGACCAAGAAAAAAAAGCTAACATATCATCAGAACTAAAGCTGAAAACCAATCATTGTTCTGTACAGACCTCCATTTCTCTTTTCAAATCATTAAACTTTAAGACATATCTGTATGTTTAAAGGATTTTTTTGAAACTGTTTTGACACGCATCAGATAAACTGTCAGTTTTGACATTATGATAAAAGGATAATAAAAAGAGTTGACAATCATTTCCAATTACTTATAATATCATTATTCTGAGTAATTTGGATAAGGGAGTGGTTAGTTTACTCAACTGTTTAGAATTATCACCCGTATAATTTATATTTTCACATAGACTTTGATAGATTGTTAGTATTTACTCACACATATTTTTATATGTTTTAGTCTACTTGGTGGCTAGCAGCCTATTCTGGGTAGTAGGTTTTTATATCTAGGCCTCCACACAGGAGCGCATCTACCAACAGAGATTGAGCACTTTAACCCACTATATCAATGAGAAATCACAAATATCAATACGCATATATTTCCCATTCTCAGCTTGAAAATACCAAAACCAGACATTACAGCAGAATAAAATACCTCTATTTCTTATCTCACCTCGCCTGGTTAACTAGTTCACTAGTTACTAACTGGTTCTAAGCCCGGATAAAGAGGGAAGGTTGGGTATAGGGCTAGCAACCCTACCCCGTAAAACCAATTCAGTCGCTAAACAAACTTTAAAGCACACACGAAATATAAAAAATAGAAATAAACTTATTCCTCGATGGAATCGAAGAGACGATACGGAGCCGGTTGGTGAAAGCCACCGGCAAGCAAATTGGCCGATGTGTCTTCTCTCCCTCGATGAAGGCGAAAGTAAGGGTGAGGACATAGAATGTCCACACGATGTATGAACCTAGCAAGGCTTTTCAGATTGCAAAAGAGATGAGAGGGCATGACATGGAAGTGCTTGGAATCGGCGAAAGTAGATGGAATGGAAGTGGACTCTTCAAACTGTCAACTGAAGAGTAAATTATCTACTCCGATATTTTCACCCAGACGACAATCACGAGCACAGTGAGTTTTGGAGTGGCTGTCATGATGTCCCCAACAGCATCAAGGGTTTTCATGCAGTGGGAACCAATCTCCTCCTGCAGGATCAGGATCATGACTACAAGATGGATTCAATTCAAAAGGAAGGAAAGTCACAATCATACAATGCTATGCTAAGCTACGCACCTACAAATAATGCAGATGAAGGGAAGAAGGAGGAATTCTACAGACAGCTGCAATCAACACTGGACAAGACTTCAGTTGGCGATATCAAAATTCTAATGGGTGACATGTTTTAATGCCAAACTAGAAGAAGACAACACAAGAAGAGAACTAACCATAGATCGAGAAGCACTCGGTGAAATGAATGAGAATGGAAAACTGTTTGCAGAATTCTGCCCATTCAACGATTTAGTGATTGGAGGCAGTGTGTACAAACATAAAGATATTCACAAAGCGACATGCAGTTGATTTCACCAGATGGACACACTGGAAATCAAATCGACTTCATCTCAATCTCAAGAAAGTGAAGATGCACACTACTGGGCACAGGATCCGATCAAGAAAAAGAGCAGATGTAAGTTCAGACCATTTACTATCTAGTGCAAGGAACCTTCAAAATCAAGTTGAAAGCCCTCAGAGAGGCTGGTGATAGACCACAGTTGAAGTTCAACACGCAGAACGGAAACTGAAGGATGAAATTACAAAGGACATTTTCACGTTAGCCATGGGAGATATCGAGCAACATCCCTAAAGAAACCTGTGTGGATGAACACTGGAACTGTTTGAAAGCTATGTGGTAAGGAACCTGCATAACCATAGTAGGAAAGAAGAAAGAAGAAGATAAGGAATGGATCTTGACGGACACATGGAAGCTGATAGCGGAGGGAGGGCAGAGTGGTGAAGCGAAAGATAAGCCAGTGATGGAGTTTTTCCAAGTCACAGTAGAAAGTATCACTCGTGCTTGTTCTTCTGATTCTTGATGAAAAGGAATGAATCGGATTTCTTTTTCTGCTCAACGGTGTCTAATTATGAAAATTTATGTATTGTTCACTCCGTGTTGGTTTCGTATAAATCGATCTGTGAAGGGAACTATCTGGTCTCCTTTTCAGTAAGACATCCAGAAAATAAAATCCTGAATTCTCTTTAAATTCTGATATGAAGTTCATTGTTGGGGATAATCAGTGCACCTTTTGAATATAATCCTAATAGCTATATTTTCATTCACATATCTTTTAAATAGCTCGCTCTTGAATCCTGACCAAACACTGAAATTACATCTTAGAAGTAGTTCTTTGAATAATGCTCCACTGAAATGACTTAAAACAAACATTTTCTGTAAGGCAGACATTGGTTTAAAGAGAAAACACATTCAGGAAAGTCATCCGCTTACTCGATTGATTCGTTCTGTTTGTTGATTATTTTGAGTGACTACAAAGTGTTATTTTATTGTCTTGTTTCCAATGTCTGTCTTCCAATCGCACTATTGATCCCAGCAGATCTCTTTAAACATAGGCTTTTCGGGACATGTTCAAAATAACTGAGGTTAACCCTTTTTTCTATTGTATTAATGTAACTATTTTTCGCAGGTTATGTCCTAGCCAGTGCAGTGTTCGTTAATTTGTGCATCGTAATTGTTTTGTCATCATAAGGTATATCTGCAGAATATCATTTATTCTTAACAGTTATGATACCTAGTAGTATTTACATCATTATTCCTTCGGATTAAGTCATTGAATAAATACGACAGTAGAACATCCTAACCTTATTCCTGAACATTTATTGAATGCAAGCTGAAATTCTGAAAAATTATTTCTCAAGAAGAAATCCTATGTAGGAAACCTAGCTCTGGGGCTAGTTTCTGCGCTAACTGACGCCCATCGGTAAAGCGTACCTACGACCTCTAGGAAACCGATATCCACCCTAAGATTAGAACCATATAGCCCGGCGTTACAGTCCATGACAATGTCGTTGGGCTATTTATAGAAGATGTTAGTTCCCTCAAGGTTGTAGATACCCCTTGATGACAAGTCCCAGCAAGTCCGAAACTTAGACGCAGAGCCTCCTGCCAACTGCCTCTATCCAACTCACATCCAACAAAGATTTCAATGTCAATAAAGATTCCGATTAATTTATTTTAAAAATTCATTTACAAGGTTATGTTGTTTATTGACACTCTAATTCCCTCACAAAAATCTTTTCTCAGTTTTTTTGAAATTAAGTTACTCTTGACAATAGACACGAATGGGATTCAAAGCGCTCGCCTTTTTCCTTTTTGGCACAGATTTAAACTAGACTTTACCTGAAACTCATCTATGATATTTTGACTTTGATTCGATCCGTTCTTTATTGCTTCCAAGCTATTAAGGCATAATAAAAATTTCTTGTGCAGCTCCACCCCGAACCGACTGATCGCTGTTAGCGTATACGTGGTTTCTACAGTTGTTTTGATATTGCTTATAACTTCGTAATGATACATTTTTTTTCCGACTGTAGGAAGTAAGAGGAGTTCAAAACGCATATTTTTCGTAATTAAAACTTCTAAGCTAGGTAAAATTATTTCATAAATGGTTGGTTTTTTCAGGAAAAATGACTTAATTTGTAAGTGAATTCCAGTGACAACTTCAATAGAAAAATTTTATGACGGTATTCATCAATGTTGGTTAACATACTCAAGAAAATAGTAAACATAGTTAGAAATCTGGCCGGACATAACATATCAAGCGATAACATACTTCCAACTTTATTATTATGTCATTTCAACTGATTTTCAAAGTCAACGAAAAACACTTTTTCAATCTGGCAAAATAATTTATCGGTAATGAAGAGTGAGCTTCATAGTTGTTGAATTCACAGGGCTTAGATAATCAGTAATATGTGAGTAGAACTTGGGCACTATGGTAGAATGTAATTGCATTTCATTTTGCTTACTAGATGTACCAAGCAGTGAAACAGTATTATTCAATGGATAACCTTTCAAACATAACCTACTATCCATAGTCAGCAAGATAATATCACTAGCCCTTACAGAAAAGGTGTGGCTCATTGCCTACTGTATGAATATTTATACAATCTTTGAGTAGATTTTTATTTTGTTCAGTTTCGACCCTGCTATGAGTATGGACAATAAATTGTCTTCTGGAACGTTACCTAGTAAATAATGCTGTCCAACTGTGTGATGCATGTAATAAGTCAACTAAAATGGAAGTAAATAACCAGCTTCTCTGGTATAGGCACTATTTTATAAGTATGCCCCAGCATGGCCATTGATCACATCTAAAATGAAGTTACATTCGGCTGATGAGTCCCAGTTAGGACGAAGTACATATGTGTTCTATAATCCACTGTCAACTATTACCAAATATAGTACTTTCATCTTCTTCAAGTTTACTGATAAATACTCGGAAGACGTCAGTCAGTGCAGTAAGCAGTGTAGAAAGTTCTAAAGATTAACTCCAAACATTCAAGCATAAAAACAAGTAGAATGTTTATTACTTTTATAAAGTACATAAAATTCATTATCCACAAACATTTAGCAGCATAAAAGCGTCTCCAAAAAAGGTAATTTCTTAAACAAACTATTCATGACCTGACAAAATATTATTCACACTTCAATGAAGTTCACTTCAGAGTTCTAAAGCACTAGAGCTTGTTTCCAATTATATATTGGCAAGATTAGAGTGTTAGTCAATATGATGCACATATAACGATTACACACACTTTTGATATGAATCAGAATGACTTCAAACAAAAAATATCATTGAACAACTTGAGAATAGTATGAATAGATAGAAAGTAGGCGCATCTTTTAAAAATTACAACTCTGAATGAAGATAAAGTAAGTAAAAGTCAAATAGTGTACAAAAAAAAGAAGGAGACAGTTAAGTTATTTCTGTAAAAGATCACGTGTAATCTCTAAATTCATACGATTACGTTCAACAAGTATATCAGCCAATTCTTTATGATCTGATTGTCTTAGGGCATATTCTAATTCAGCAATTTTAACATCATCTTTTACTGATTCACGTAATTTTTTCCATTGCATAAGGGTTTTTTGTTTAAAAGCAGCTTCACGTTGATTGAATGTACGCATTTCTTCATAATTATTAACACATGTTGTCAATGGTATATTCAATAATAAAAAGGCTCTTACATCATTTTCAGTCAATGCTTTAGCAATATTTAATATACTGATATCGGATAAAACAGAAGCTGAAGAATTATTCTCCTGTTCTTTATCTTCATTTTTGTCTGTTTCGTGTAAACACAAAACAAAAACAATAAGTGAGAGATGGATAAAAAGAACTTTATTCAAAACATTATAGTCAACTAAAATTCACATTCTCTGCTCTGAATAACTATGTGTTAATTTTGAGTTTTCTCAAATTTCAGCTCTCATTTTCTGCACCGAAATGCACTAAAGTAATGATGTTCCTGTTATTATCACTATCATTATCATTACTGTATACCTCTTGTTCTATTTATCCTCGCTTGACCATCGATATTTTCCTATGACCCTGTGTGTATGTGTTTTAATATATTATTTTCGATTTTCTTTACTGTGGGGGGTGATAAAGTACATAGGTAGGACCGACTTGATAAATTATTCAATCTAATGGTCTTTGAAGGTATCCTGACCAACAATGAACTGGACAGTTTGAAAAAACTTGAGCAACGAGTTAGTATGATTCACCGTATGAGGTGTACTTTTACTTGTGTAATTCCTGCGTAGTATATTAGAACAAATAATGAAATAAATATTCTGTATTATTCCTCAACGTTTCGATCTTGCTAGAAAGATCCTTTTCAAGAGTATAAATATGATATTAAGTTTTCAGGCTACTGGTCTTTCCTTTTTATTGCATCGGGCTTGAAGAGGTTAAGCAGGGATACAATTTTATTCACTAGATAACTTTTCGAACATCCCGGGTCATGAAAAGTAGGCATTGTCAAATGCCTAACGAATCAAGATAAGAATCTAACCAATGAGCTGGAAAATTTAAATTAAGCAATCGAAGAACTTAACAGAAACTTTATTTATGAATGATTATCTTCCTAACTTCATTTTAGCTGAGAAGAAGCGATAATTGAGCAGTTAATGCAAAGCTACTGAGAAGGAGTTCAAAACCCAGAAAATGTTGCTAAATAAGAAGGCGGAGCTGAAAATCCTATGCTGAGGTTATATCGGCAATAAAACCTACAGATTCATTCATAGACAAACTTTTTCAGCTTAAGGACTCCAGCTACTTCACCCAATAAAAATAATTTAATCTACCGAAGAACGTGAACTGACGGTGAGACACAGCTAAAACCAATTGACTGCAGTGTATCAGGTCACCAGAGTACAGGAACTCAGCTAAATCTAGAATTCTAAACCCTGATAGGATGAGTAATCTGTGAGGGGATCCACTCATTTCTAAACATGCAAATACACAAAAAGATGGGACAAAGTTTAAGTCTTAAAGACTAATCTAGTTGAGTACAGGGATACGAAGCTTCATTCATCGACTCGGCATCCAATACCAAAAAAAAAACAAAGGATAAAATCAGTTGAAATCTACAAATCCAGTCAGTTAGCTGTTTGATCATGTCGATATGATTACGAGAAATAACTTAGGCTTGAAACGTTATCCAATGACTAGTCCGTCATTATGAGCCACATCAAGTAATGTTATATAAAACGATGCTGATTTGTTTATTGCTTAGTAATCATTATTCCTGAATTATCTAATGACCACAAGAATTGGCAATTGGGATCGAATGCGAACCCATATAGGGTCAGCTAGATTAAGTCTGGATGTGCTTTCCATCTTAATTTAACCTGTTTCCTTGCGAGTGAATAAACACTCATTTAGGACTGAACCCATAAAATCCCTAAAAATGTTTTACTGATTTTTATTCGCTAAAATAGTCACTTACGATAGTTATTCCTTGGTTTATCTAAAGTATGTTGAACATTACCTACCTGACATTTGGAGTATGTATTCTTTCTACGAATATCTCTCTCAGATAAGTATTTTAGTTCCCTAAAATAATAATAATAATACAGATTACATAAATAATGAAGATGTAATTCAAATCTTGAGATTTCTTTTGCGTAGGATTAATTGGTAACAAAGGAAGTTCACATATGGAATCAACATCAGTCAAAGAAACATTGGAAACCAAAGAGCACTGTACAGCTGTTTCGTTATTGTTTTTCATAAATAAGCAGTATGAGGAGAGAACTGCACTGGATAAGTACCAATATTATTGAGTTCATAGGTTGGAATTACTGTCAGGAATGCGTATTCTGTTTGTAACCACTTCACATCGAAACTCGATGAAACTTATTCTTTATCTGCGGGACATAAATGTACAGCGCTTAGCAATATCGTATGATACTGCGTAACACTTATTTTTCAAAGTGACTTGAGATAGTAATCAAAGAAGAGCCTCTATTTCCTCTAGAAGACGCACATCAATTAACTGTAAAATTCCAAAAACAAAAATTTATGATAAATATACTTTTTTCACAGACATTGACAACCAAAAATCAAGTACAGAATACGAGACTATCAGACTGAATAAAAAATTAATTATTTCTCCTCCTCTTCCCGCGTACGATCAGGAAAGTATAAAAGATCAAACGAGTAGGCGCAAACAAGTTTCGATGAAAATAATTTCAGCTTTATCTTTTTAGTTTTCAATTACATTGCTGCTGTGTGGTTGATAAAAGTCAAACTGCAAAACAAAAAACGCCAGTTACATAAACTAGACAAGCAGAAACCAAAAAATGGTGTGAAAACTGTAACGGGTATGATGATTACTTTTTTGAGGCATCAAGATTATTCCACCATGGTTGTCTTTTAACACTGTGTGGAAAGAAAGAAGTTAACATGTAAAAATAAGAGCATGAAGGGAGACTGTGAAGACTTGGCCCGTGACAAAGAACAAAATCCACACTCTGACTACCTATGTACATCAGAATCCAGTCAACAACTGCAAATGAGTTTGATACAAAGCCGTGACAATTGAGCTCTAGTTTTATCAAGGGAAATGGGCAGTGTTGCTCTCAATATCAAGCAAAGAATGCATGCAATGAATCACAAAAACGACCATCTTCCTGCAGAAAGCACTACATAAAGTTATCGTGCAAAGTAACTCCAGAGCAAAATAAACACTTTGTCGGACTGGTGGCAGGCTGGTTCTTCTCTGACAAAAAGGATTTTGTAGAGACAGCAGCAGAACACTCAAAACAGCAAATGCATGCTCTAAAGTCCAACGGAGTTAATTAACAACAAGTAGAACAGGTTCCTTCAAACTATGGTGGCGTTTGAAAACTTCTTCAATGAACATTATTTTATGTCAACCCACATCCATATTGGGTTTACAGGCTCATTTTAGGCAACCGTGTGGAGATTATGAAGACTCTGTTCAAGCCTTTATTTTGCAAGATGGCTTTTAGAAAAACATGTATGTGGCAGCAAGGTTAAGCACCCAGGTACACCTTTTAGAAGACTCACAAATGCTTGTCTAAGGATGTTTACAACTTCACGGTCCCCACCTAATCTTTGATTCGCAGACTCTCCAACTCGCTATTCGACTGGTCACTAATTTTGAAGTCTAGTAGAGAAAAAAACTAACCACATTGGTTTTAACACAACAGCTCAGATAATTGGCAAGATTGACGAGGCTCCTCTTTGAGATGCCACATAGCCTATAGAATCGAGGTGGTGGTGTATGCCAAGGGAAGCCTATTCTAACGATTCCTCGACAATAATTTAAGTTATGATCTCGCTTCAGTATTCCTTTGCTTTTGAAAAAACCAGCCCCTTTTATGGATGATCTGCACAATGTGATAAGAAGACGGAGGTTATCTGAGAAATGTGTATTTTCGCAATATATTTTGAACAGTCTGGTCACACATTTGCTTGTCAAGGTATTTTATATAAAAAGCGAAAGTAGGGTAGGGCACGTAAGTTGCGATAATGCAAGATTTGGGACATACAATGATAGTGAGGAGGAGTGGTACTTTTTCACACCTCCCTTGGTACTAAAATGAGATAAAAATTTTGGTGGTGTTGTGTTCTCCGGGATGGATGGTTTAGTCGTAAAACTTGTATTGCTACTCTAGACAGCTTCAGGTAAGCATGAATTATTTTTGAATACACAAAGAGGCTTGAACTTTCGTATAGTTAGACTTTCAATGGACCTAAGTATACGGTCTTGACGGCTGGTATATGAAAGTTTAAAGGCTGTTTCGGGGTCAATCCTGTGACCCGTTTCTACAGTGTGTTTACCTGTGGGGGATGACGTCTGCCTGCTCCCTCTATTTATCGGATTATGTGAATGTGATTTTTTCTAGCTATTTAGGGATATCCTCCACCACCCTCAACTTCATAGTTCGATTACTCCTCCCAATGTATGGGTTACCCCATACACATGTAAATTGGTATACACAGCAGGGCGTGACGTAACCACTTATGTAGTGATGAGGTCAATTTTGGAGTACATGTTTCGTTCTCCCTAAAATACTGAGCTTGGCTGCATAGTATGTCTTCTTAATAACTGAAATAAGCCTTCACCTTAAGATCACGTTGTACGATTCTCCCTTATACAGTAGCGTCCTTTATTAATGCTAGAGGCTCGTTTGAATTCCATTTCAAACAACTGATTGTCTCAAGTCGGCTTTGTACTTCTAGGTGTTTTCACGGTTTCCAATGTTATATCTGTTGTTTGCTTCGTGCTGCTCTTGTCCCCACTCAACAGTCATGGATGGAATTAGAATAGGTTCAAAGTTCTTATTTTCTTGCAGAACCAATGCTAGTTTGTCGCCTTGATATAAATCATGAAACTGGGTGTACAGTAATTTTCAGCTGTGACTCACTCTTCATGAATGTCTTCTGAAATTTCGAACAGCATAAAAGCTAATGAGGTATCATCCATTTTGTTGGGTTATTTGTAGGTCATGTGCCTGCTTTCAACCAAAGCTTTTCTGGATTTACCTACGGAACATATCGACCAGTCAATCAAGTCGATATTACGACAAGGATCTATTCATAGTTCTACTAATATATTGTCTAGGCACCAACTAGTAGCATAATTACTCTATCATATGGGGATTTGATAGGCTCAGGGATTGTTATTATTAGATCGGTGAAAATATATGTAATTTGCCAGTACTTAATGGAAATCATAATAAAAGTGGCCGCACAGTTATTTGAGTGTAGTTAACCGCATATGTTCTATACGTTAAATTATAATCTTCTGAATTCCAAGCTTCAACCCAAGTTTATTCTCAGGTGACAACTGGAACCTCTAGTCACAGGCTCCTAGGTAAGTCTCGATTGTTCTGTCAAAAGTTCCAAGGTATCTTCTGGAACTGCAGGAGGGTCTGTAAAACTTCGAGATACTTTAGGGAACTGCAGATAGGTCTACAAGAGCTTCAGGCTGACTTAAGGAACCTTGGAAGTTTCTGAAAAACACTACGGGAATTTCGGAGAACGTGCTGCGCTGCCCTGAGTTTTTAAGCATATACTCAGCCCTAAGCTACCGAAGTGCACCCAAAGTCCTTTTTAGAGTTCCATACTCTCCGGAAATATGTCAAGCCGAAGTAGAGAGTCTTACTGGTATAGCACTCTCCAGGCACCTACAATCACTAGATGGATTAAATGCTGTCTATGGCTGATAAATTCGTGTGTGGAACAAAAGTATGGAAAACATTACCTTGTGAAAGCGGAAATGAAGTAAGTGTTTGAAATGTCGTCAGGTGAACGCTACAGTGTTAACCTTACCAGGGTTGGGGACGAAATTGAAGAAGCAGTCACTTAACCAGCTTTGTGTCTAAAACAGAGGATCACAAGTTTCTCTGGTTGTAACATTGCGTACAAAATCAAGAAAACGAATACAGATTACGATTAGACAGTGAGAGTGAATTAGATTGAGTGCACTCCTTGAATACTACCATGTTTTTACCTTGTTTTCATTCTTCCTGAAAATAACCAAACTTGCGACTACCCTGTCCAAGCTTTCGTCTCTTAATCCAACACATTTTCGCAACTAGTCGTCTGTAAAACCCACAATTCCCACTTAGCCACTACCATTACTCTCTAGAAGGACAACTGTGCGGTAGGTCTACCTATCTCGACCAACTGCTATAGCTCAGGTTGCTGCATCTGCAGCACTGTATATCCCACTCACCCATACGACCTGGATCTATGGGTGGCTTTCGATATTCACCCGAGTTATGCGACTAGACAACTGAAGATAAGGTCAGCAACGTTTACTTATTTTATTATAGATTGTCCACATTTAGCGTGACACACGTTCTTATCCGCTGCTTCCTGCTGTTTCCTGCTTACTTATTGTGTGGCAGCGTTGGGTCGGTTAAATCTTGCTTCAAACACATCTCAAATGTAGCCTCACCTCAGTTATCGACCACCTCTTTCTAGGTGCTAACAAAACCCAGAGCCAAGGCGTGTTGGAGTGACTCGAAGAATCCTAGCCGCCGAGCGACAACAGCGGGGAACGACGAGGAAACTCCTGGCCCAGTTCATTGTCCACAGTGACAATTGTTACATACGTCACCTAACTGTAGCCAACGGTGACGCAGCTCTCAAGTGTAGCATTTGTAGTAATTGGGTGTATTTTCAACGTGATGAGGAGGTACCAGACCAACATTAAGCATTTAATACGTGCCATCCACGCTCACGGTTCCGGTATATCTGCCTTAAGTGCCACGTGAGACCACCTCCAGCCCCTGGTATCTTCGTGGCAACAACAAGGGGCTCTCTGGTGGCTGCTCAAATTCAGGCACCCACACAAACCACTATCGTGGAAGACTCTTAAAACCGAGACGTTCCGTGACGCTCCACAGGCAGCAAAAATGACCAAGCGGCTGTCATGCAGAAAGCCAGCTACACCAACCTGAAGTATACTCCAGCGAAGGTTACTGATGAACATCCTGAGGAATGGGTAAGAGTGGAGATGAAAGCGTCGCCTGTCCGTGAAAAGTTACGCGAAGCACGTGACAACAAAAACATCAACTGGTGGTCCAACTCCATCGTCTTATTTTACTCTCCTGCATACAATGGCACCGTATGCTGCACACTGGAACCAGACAAGCGAGAGACAAGACTGTGCAGTGGTGGCCACTCACCTTTGGTGAGACCACCACCGATGGGAGTGACCCCGAGCTCTTCTAGGGGCGTCAAAAGATTCCTCTTGCCTTCACCCGCGCTAGTCGTCGATCGGTCATCCAGCATGAAAGCTGAGGTGCACCGGCAGTGGTTGGTGAAGAAAATATCTCGAAGAGTGTCCCACGCTCTGGGACCAACCACGGTGGTCCACGATATGCAGGAGTTCCTTCCTCGCCTTCCAGCTGACTGCTAGATTTTTGGAGTTTCAGGGCACCAGCATCTCTTAGTGCCGCTTCCTCCCTTATCATTCCTTTGCGGGGCTATCTGTCAAACTTTTCATCTCCACAAGCGACACCGTTAGCAGAGCTTAAGATGGATAACACTTCGGGTTCTGCACATATCCATCTTTCAGTATCGAGGATGATGTAGCACTCTTCCACCCCGCGGGAACGTGTTTCTCTCTGCGGAGCGTTAAGTTAGGTTATAAAAGTACCACTTTTTTTGCACTTCTTCGACACAAGTGACTAAATATCGCTGCGTTTCAGATATTTTCTTGAGTGGATCTTGGGTGGTTTCTCGATGAACATACCAGAGGTTATCTGTATCTTGCGCAACCCTTCTACACTAGGTAACGTTGAAAGTTTAGTGGTTAAAATTTCGGTTGGGTGGTAGGGTGTTCAACTCTGTATGGTGGACGGTGCTAAAAGTTTCGATAATCTCTGGCCTAAATATGGTCCTCCCTTTAGAACCACTCTAACGGAAACTCGCTGGCCAATAGATCTCCGCCGTGGACCGCCACCGATAGGTGGGGTTTACCCGGTGCTTCCCGACAAGGTTTCTTTGAGACGCATGCTCATGGCATGAACATGGTTTTCGACCTCTTCCTTTTATGAGTGAGATGTTTCTGTGATGAACTCCGTGTTGTGTTAATTCCTTCTGTTACCGGAACTTGATATTTTGCCGGCAATTTAGGATATTTCTTTTCAGGTCGGTGGTCGTCGTGAACCGACATCGTGGGAGAGACATTGGAAGACCCACTATCAGCGTGCTGGCTGAGGGACCTGGAAGCCCTGGGTTTGATCTCAGGCGGGATCATAGGTGTGCACTGCTAAGAAATCCCGTGTTAGTGCTAAATAGGTGTTCGGTGCTCCCAACTATTCAACGTTTCTCCAACCGACGCCAGTTCACGTTGAGTTGTGACCTGATATCAATAACAGTTGTACAAGCCCCAAACTGGCCATTTCTTTTCATTCGTGCGCGCAGTTACTCATTTCAGATCATTTATGCTGCACCAGTCTCCAAATTTGTGTGGTGTGGTTATGTGTTAGTGCCCTTACAAGGACAAATTATTGTTTTTATGTTCGCTATGACCTGGCTCTTCTGTAGAGCCCCTATTCGTATCGGGACATTTGCAGGAATCACCTACTTAATGGCTTCCCTCCCTAGCTTTCAGTCCTCCCGGTTGACTGGGAATTCCTCACCTGAGGCCATTAGCCTACTAACAGATATTGGTTCACCACCGTGCAGCCTTCCCTGATGCAACAAAAACAGAGGTGATATCCACCCTATAATGGTTTTTGCCAATTTTCAAATCAAACATTACCATTCCATGAACACCGCCATCGGGAGGAGTCTGAACCCGAACATTTTCTGCTAGCGGGTGGATGTCAGTTAGAAGATAGGCCAATTTTATAGGCTTTCCACTTGGCCCCCAGTGGGTGTCGTCGGCAATATTTTCATACAGCCCGGCATTCTGACGGCCTTTAGCAGGTTTCCATAGCGCGTCCCACTTGAAGTTCCTCAACTTTGCCCGAAGTGTGGATCTGGGACACTAAAATCCCCACGGTGATAGCCTCCTAGTGAATGGTTGTACCCACCAATGCGGATATTACCTGAAATAGTTGTCGATTTTGTTCCGTAGAACCAGCAGGGGTTCTACAGTTCCCCGACCAGATGGTTCCCGTTCTCAAACACAAGGTGGCACCACATGGAATCTAAGAGCTGTGTCCTTATAGTGTCAGTAACACGTTCATCTGTCCATTGGCTTCAAGAAGTAGTGCATCTCTGCCTCCCACCCTGTGCTCTCCACTTTTCTTAAACGGACACATGCGGTCCATTTCAGCTGAGATGTCGCTAACATCCGACAGTACCAAATTTTGTGTCAGGGCTACAATTTTTTCAGCAACGTCCTAACAGGAAAGATAGAACCATCACCTTACCACGAGGTCCCCTAAAATTGCATTTAGGACACCTGTAGCCGCGTCTCACTACACCGAACTTTATGGTGGTGGCTGACAGAAGACGATTGTATGCAGTAGTGAAAGTTGCTGCTGTTTAGTCAGTTCTAGTGGAACCGGTCCAAGTAGGTTTGTCCGTGGATCGGTTTCCATGATCACAATGGAGCCAACGTAATCAGGTTATCGTGCCTCCGTACCGGCCTGAGCAAGAAGAGGAACCACAGCAATGATAATTTTATCATTGATTCGATTTGCACTATCTCCGCGATAACCTTACATTCGCCTTTACCTCTCTGATACACTATCCACTAAGGTAGTTTTTCATAGCGCCGTCTTCTCCCCACCCTTCCAAAATTTGCCAAGGCCTATCCCTTCATCTTGTGTCACGTCCCCTCCACCCGCCCATTTTCCCATTTCCCCTGCATTGATTTCCATTGTTATCTTTCCACTGTACCTATATTCGTTTTACGACCAGTCCGAACAACTATCTGGTAGCTCGACATTTGGAGAATCCATCCGCACCACAGTCCCGAAACAAAATAAACATGCCCCTACAAAGTTAACCAACGCAAGTCCATCCTTAAGCATTGCCGGAGCTGTGGCACGCGAGTGACTGGGTCTGCTGACACGGATTACACCAAAGACCTGAAACTAGTCCGGGAGATAGAAAAGTGAACGCCAAGAAGTCGATTGGCTTATACAAGCCTGCAATTCAAATTTCGGGCATTGGAACTCGTGACTGCGTGATCGGTAGGCGCCATCTTGGCCACTAAGTCATTCCTTTTCAAGTCTCGGCAGGAGGATAAACCATTTTTTCTTGACACTGTTGTGGTTAATGTCGTTGTCCTTGTCGTAGTGTTCCAGGTCTGAGTTCACTACGGCGAGAGTAAACGTCGATGTTATACCGAGCAGCACCGCTTGTCGGCAGCATTTTTTTAGGGCCTGCAGAAGTGTGAAGTTAATAGCCAACAGGTGTATGTGACGTGGGAACCTACAGGTCGCCATGGATAACAGTCTCATAAACCCCATCCTCGAAAATAATCGTTTCCAACGTTGAACAGAATGAGTATATTTTCTTCTAGATGCAGTATTTCTTCCGTCATATCGTGGACTACCGTGGTTGGTCCCAGAGAGTGGGACACTCTTCGAGATATTTTCTTTATCAACTGTTATTGATATCAGGTCACAACTCAACGTGAACTGGCGTCGGTTGGAGAAACGTTGAATAGTTGGGAGCACCGAACACCTATTTAGCACTAACACGGGATTTCTTAGCAGTGCACACCTATGATCCCGCCTGAGATCAAACCCAGGGCTTCCAGGTCCCTCAGCCAGCACGCTGATAGTGGGTCTTCCAATGTCTCTCCCACGATGTCGGTTCACGACGACC